AAAGAAAGAAAGAAAGAAAGAAAGAAAGAAAGAAAGAAAGAAAGAAAAGAAAGAAAAGAAAGAAAGAAAGAAAGAGAGAGAATGATGTTTATGCATTCACTTATATGTGGATATTAGCTATTAAGTTGATGATAAGCATGCTACAGTTTATATAATCACAGAAGTTAGGTATAAAGTAAGGGTTTAGAGGGGGCAGAAAGATCTTGTTAGGAAAAAGAAATAGCAGAAATAGTTATGGGTAAATGGAGCTGGAATGGAAAGATCAAGTGGAGAGAGGACTGATGAGGGGGATGAAGGAGAGAATTTGAGGAGAGACAGCTAGAATTAAGGGCCAGCTGAGGGGTAGTATGGAAAATTAACACAGAGAAGCTTCCTAAAATATATATGTAAGAGAAGGCAATCTAAATGAAATCACCAAATAATAGGGAAGAAGAGTCCCTAACTGACCATCTCTTGTCACTAAATGAAGCTTCCATTATTGGGATTGTATTACATCTCCTTGAGTTGTTGGCCATAGGGATCCCATAGAATGCCCAAACAACCTAGGTTTTTGCCAAGACTATAGGTTGCACTCCAGAAACTGACAGCAAGGCCCCATTGCAGAAGACAATACCCATACAACTCACTGAACATAGAGAAGTCGAGCTGGCCTATGGTCTAGAGTCTTTGGTACAGGAAGGTACTCTGCACACTACCAAAAGAGAATGTGAACACCAAGCTAGCCACAAACAGATTTACAATGCTGTCCTGCCTACAGGATATACTAGGGCAATAGTGGCATAACGCTTGTGGAAGTAACCAACCAATATCTGATTTGACTTAAGGCTCACTTGTAGGAGGAGCTAAGGTGGGAGGAGTTAGAAGAGGAAAAGGAAGAGAAGAGGAAAAGGAAGAGGAGCTAGGGACAGGAGAGGAGAACAAGAGAGAGAAAGAGGGAGGGAGAGGGAGAGGGAGGGAGATGAAGGCAGATGTTCACGTGTCTGTAGCAGTCAAAGGTAGTCGGTATATCTAGGTTGGTATTGGGTTACACTTCTGATTGAATGGGTATCTTGTTACTGATCATTACCAAATATATAAGCCCTTGATTAATCTTTAAGCATTAGAGTCTCATATTTCTACTGGGCCCATGTGGATGACGGGATAGTCTAGGCAATGCCCAGCCTTGCAGAGACAGTGTGGGAGATTGAGCCATCTCCCACGCTGACGTCTCGTGGGTGGCAGGGCTGGTGTTTCTAGTTGGCCATTTCTAACTGCAGCATGCATGTGGCCTCCAGCCGAAAAACATGGCGGCTGGGCTAGGCAGAGCCACTGTGGCTTAGATAGTCGGCCTGAGCCAGAGGCCATTTTAAATAATTAACACAACACCACTCAACAAGATTGAACTCATATACCCAACACTGCTTAGGTGTCCAAGAACCAGAGACTAGATAGCTGGAGGACCTAGGGTAAAACCAAATACTACTATAGGAAATTAAAAAGTAGCAATAAAATTACTCCGAATGACATTCTGCTATACTCATACATCATATCAGTACCTTGTTCAGCTATAATCAGAGAAGCTTCCTCCTGCAGCAGATGGGAACAAATATAGAGATCACATCCAAATATTATGCAGAGTGAGAGACCTTGGAACACTCAGCCCTAAACAGGATGTCTCCATCAAATCCCTCCCCTCAAGGCTCAGGGGAGGCCTGTAGAAAGGAGCTAGAGGACACCAAGAAAACACAGCCCTCTAAATTAATATGATCAAGGCAGATATGAACTCACAGAGACTGAGGTAGTATACACAGGTCTTACAGAGCCTGCACTATGTCTTCTGCATATATATATTATAGCTTCTAATTTAGCGACTTTACAGGATTTCTTTTTTAAGATTTATTTATTTTTAAGTGCTCTATCTGCATGTAAAACTGCATGCCAGAAAAGGGCATCAGATCACATTACAGATGGTTGGGAGCCACCATGTGGTTGCTAAGAATTGAACTCAGGACCTCTGGAAGAGCAGCCAGTGCTCTTAATCACTAAGCTATCTCTCCAGCTCCCTTACAGGGTTTCTGTGTCTGCAAAAGAATGGATTTCTGATTCTGTACCTCCTCTTAGGCGCTTTTCCTTCTACTTGTCTTGTCAAACTCCAATGTGTTAGTTTTTGTTTTAGCTCATTTTATTTTATTATTCTGTAGAAGCCTGTTTGTTTTACTAATGAGAGACAGAAATGGTATGTCCATTCAGATGGGAGTAGACGTAGGGAGACACTGGGAAAAGCAGAGGGAGGAAAAACTATAATCAAGATATAATATGTGGGGAAAAATCAATTTTCAGCAAAAAAATAATAAAATGTTTGCTCAGCTTACTGTTAGCCATAATTTGTAACTTAATGATGCTTTCTGTAGTTTTCTATATTTCTAAAATTCAAGTCATGAGACTATACAGCAAAATTCCTTTCCGGAGAGAAAATATTTTAACAAGTACATAGCTGATGCCCCGTTTCTATCACAACTAGAGTTTATATGGTCCATTTTATAGCAATTGCATGCACATGTGCCTGCCTGTATATGTACACAAACATGTACAGGAAGACCAAAGGTCAAACTTGTTCCTCAGATGCATTCCACCTTGGTTGTGTTTTGGGTTTGAGCCTGGGACTCCATGATTAGTCTAGGCTGGCCACCAATGCTCCGGGGTCTTGCCTATTCATCCTTCTGTGAGATTACAAACAAAAGACGCGACATCTAGGTTTTTCCTTGGGTACCAAGGATCTGACTTGGGCATTCGCACCTGCACAGCAAGCACTCTACCAACTCAGTTATCCCCCAGGCCTGGGGTTCCGTTTTTAATGAGTGCATTTGTCACCATAGAAAATCAAGGGTTATTTTCTGGGTTTCTCCCACATTAAACAGACTCGCTCCTCCTACAGGATGAAAGAAACTGCAGCATCCCCCTTAGTGGATTTCTGAAATACAGGAGAGATGTCTGAAGTCAGCATAAAGTAAGAAGAAAAAATTCACCCAAGTTTAAAAAAAAAAAAAAAGCTTCAATATGAATTCCTCATCAACTTGAAAGATTTCTTTTACTTTTATGCTAGCAGTATCCACCGTCTTATAACTATTTCATCTACACTAATAGGAAAATCAGCAGTATTTTTGTTTATTTTTCTAAATTATCACTATGGGACAGAACTAATTTCATGTTCTAGTCTATAACTGAATGTTGACTACATAACTCAGGTAACAATATACTATATTCTTGGTATATATATATATTCTACATATAACAACACATTAGCATTCAATGATCATAAATTTTCTGACGCACTCAAATCAATTTCCTTCCTCGTTAGCCCTTACTTACCCACTAACACAGTGATGACCTTATTGCTAGCATACTGTTCTATCTCCCGCAACCACTCCGGAAGGCAGCGGAAGGATTCCTCACAGGTGATGTCATAGGTAAGGATCAAGGCATTGGCGCTTCGGTAGTAACTTTGGGTAATGGAGCGAAATCTCTCTTGACCCGCAGTGTCCCAGATCTGTAACTGTAGAGGCATAAGACAGGGATCAGCTTGGAAAAGCACAAAAAAGCACCGCCTTGCTAGAGCTCAGAAACGAGCACATCACACAATTTCATGGTTGTTTTCTGCCCTGAAAAGTACTTTTGGCTGTCAAGTGTTTCTAAGTTTGGAAAAGGGCTTATTCTCTTTCCTGTTTTTTGTTTGTTTGCTTCCTTCCTTGCTTGCTTGCTTGCTTGCTTGCTTGCTTGCTTGCTTGTTTAAGACTTCTTTCTTTATTCTCAAAAAAACCAAACCAGGTTCTACTGTACATTATTATATTCCAAGCTCTATCCTATTCATTTTATATGTAATAATTCAGTCTTCACAATAACCTGATAAGTAGTTTTATATCCCCTCACCAGCAAACTAAAGTATCATGAGATCTATTAACTTGACCAATATCTCAGACAATTCGACACTCACTATGGACTCCGTGTTCTTGCCCATCAGCTGGGGACACACACAGTGCAATAGAGAGCAAGCTGTTGTTTTGTGGTCATTGGTATTTCAGTCAGCAAGCAAAAGATCAAAAATTCAACCTCAACTTTCAACTTTTCCAGCTTAAAATTCTAATGAATATATCAAGACATTATCACTGTTAATGAAAACAGAGATGGTACCATTACAGTCACACCCCTGCACCACACAACTAAGCTCTGTGACTTTAGTACACTTAATCTTTTTGGACTCTACTTGTTTAGATATGTGCTATCACAGATAGATAAATAGATAGATAGATAGATAGATAGATAGATAGATAGATAGATAGATAGA